TTGCTTTGATCCATTTTGGGTCATTTTACACATTCCACTTGAAACAATTCTAATCCAAGCCCTCAAATTATCTAATTTGAAGAACACGCTAGCAGGAAATTTAAAGACTACCTAATCGGTAGATTCAATGACATGCATCCGTTTTGCCCGATCAGCTGACCACATGTCCTTGACCCTGACCTTTTTGAAAAGGCTCCCAATGTTCGGGTCGATGTATTCGCATTTCCGCCTCCGGAGTGTTTATTCTCAGTTAAGCGGCTTGTACAAAATCATTTGACCTCGCATCTTCTAAAACAACAGCTGCATACACTCGGGCAATGTGAATTGCTGGTTACATGCCTAATTTTGAGTGTGCGCTATCGTTTTGAGCAATTCGAACAACGTGCGAATGCCATTCCAGTACACGAGGACAACACGCTGCATCCGATTTATCCTCTCCGAATTCATCAAAATTATAAATTATTGCGTAGTACGGTCTCGCTTGTATTGTGAAAAACAAAAATAACATTATAACTCTGTGCATAATCCGTCAAACAAGTGTATCTCAGCTGTTCCTTATTGTGGATGTAAACCTGTTACTTTCTCTCACTGATTGCCAATTGACTTTGAAACACTTTTCCATGAAACAAACCAATCTACGAGGTATGGTCTGTCACTTTTAAGCCTCTATGTTCTCCCAGTCTAAACACTGCATTCCGTTAAATCTTTTTCAAGCTATTGAGATTTATTTTATCATATTATCATATTTTCTACGACTCGTAGCCCGCATACATCCGACTAGATCGTTTCTTTTCCCCACAGATCATTGCAAAAAAGAACGTGACTTCAGGACGACCATGAAGATAGACGTATCTGCCTACTAAATATACGTTATAACGGTGTTGTAAGCTCAACTTCATTAACACTCTTATTCCGCCTGCTGGCAGAAACATTTTAGGTACGGTTAAGTACATAAACGGACTTCTGCCATCCAGCTATCCTGTAGCTCAACTGATATGAATAATAAAGATTTCATTCAGATTCGCACCAATTGAAGGCGATGTGAAGTTCGGCAACCTGGCAGCTTTCTTTGTTAAGAGTGGGATCATTTGTGAACTAATCCGACTAAATGTCAATAAAATATAAGGCCCTGATGAAGTTTCCTCTGCTGTCCCGTGGAAATTTACTACCTCCCTATCCACTAAGTTGACTGAACTTTCCAATCAGTCTTGCGTATTTCTGTTGCTACCTCCTGAGCAAAATGTTGATGACCCTAATGATGCAGCAAGAAGTTAAGCATTCCGTCCCATCACCCACTGCTCTCTGATGTTTTATCAACCCAATTCAGTGTCAGAGGCCCATAATCGGCTACCCTAAACGCCGTTGCTTTCCTCTTTTGCTTTATTGTTTTTTTCTCTTGAGTAACATAAGTAAGGCTGTTCGTGTATTCAGTGAATGTATCATCACTACTGACAGTGTAATAACACTCCAAACGCTTTTGTCTATTGAGGTTTAACATCCACAATCAGGCTTTCTTTACCAATAACTATTTGCACTCTACACCGTGAATATTCCCTTCTGCAATTCCATTAAGGAATAGGAATAAATGTTTGGTTATCAAGATTCCTAAATCCTACTTTCTCTTCTTTCATAATTATGTTTAATGGTTTATTCATTATAAGCTATGCGCAAATCATGTCATCTTTGG